TATAATAGTGCCATTAAATGGTTCCGCTGTGGATTTTGAGATAACCTAAAAAATGACGTTTTTTGAGAATGACCCTGGAGAGTTTTGTATCAAAAATATGCAATTAGACATAAGAATACAGTTAAATCATTGGTTTGTCGGATAGTTGGTGCCGTCGTAAACTTAAAGGAAATCTCTTCGTTGTAGACGATTTGGAAGAGAATTTGGTCCCCAAATGTATATGCTAGGTTTTGCAATTGGTCCAAGTCAATTTAGACAGACTCCATGTTTTAGCTCAAGACTGCGGAGCTCGTTAAACTCTGCTTATTGGGTACGAAATGCTAAATAAGATTATATAATATTTATTCGGCAGATTTAGAATCAACTGTATGCTGGGTGAGCTCTATCTGTCCACTACACTTTATCTCAATGAATCAAATCGATCGAAAAGGGGCTTACGCTCTTGTGAGGGTAGATTTATAAATTCAAATGATAATAAAGTATGGGCAAAACTTGTTTTCTTTTGGGGTTTTTTTTTCATCAATTGGCATCAGGAAAGTCGTGCCCATCCAGCAATCCAATAAAATGGTCTGCAAAGCAAACTTTGTAATTTCAGGGATTATTAGACTTCGAATGTGAAACGAACTAGGTTTTTAGCCGAAAGATGCTTATTTGGGCATGCCATACTTGCATACTTTTACTTCTTGAGACACGTGTGATGAGATGAATTGCTGTGGTTAAAAGAAGCTCAAAACCTACGTGAAACTAAAAAATTTCAAGCTTATTTGAAAATCGCAGGTGTTGCAGTATTTTGCGTTTACTAATGTCGTTGGTACTCACATCCAGGGAGGCGTTGACAAATACTAATGCTTTGCCTTCCTGAAGGGAAATTACTGGAGGGTTGAGGGTTGATGCCTGAATATTTGCTGCAATAATTTCTGCACACAGCCAAATTATAGTTAAAAGTACCTGAACTGTAAATGAAGAGTTTGGCATCGCTTCTGCTATCTCCGGAAGTACTGTGCCAATGCACAAAATGTCACAATAAGTGTGCAAGAAGGGACTGTCGACAGTTGCACTGCAAATACTTGCCTTTTTCTTTGAAAAAGCGTTACATATAACACACAGAATATTATTTCCATAGCTGGCTATCATTGTTGTATCTTCTCATAACCATTTTGTTTAAACTCGGAATTTTATGAAGAGATCTTTTTGCTTGTTAGTGACTGGAGTGGGCCGCTCAAAGGCAGATCAGGAATGATCTAACCTTTTGAGGACGAAAATGAAGTTCGTTGTTAGAAGGACCTCAAAACGGCGCAGAGTACTCATCAACGAATATTTGTGCAAATTTTGTTAATTTAATTCGTGAGATATCAAACATAAATATTCGGTAATATTACGAACTACACGAAATATTCGATGTCTATATTTCGAAAATCTATCCGCCGGTCCGATGACAGTAGGTTATGTCATACGTGATTTTTGGATGCTCTGAAGGTTCTTTATTTCGGAAACTACGGTTTTTAACATATTTTAGCAAAAGCGGAGTGATTTTAATGAAATTACACACTCACACGAAATGTCCCGAGAAATGAGTAGCCGCCAGCGTGCTCTGGACAGTTTCTTCCTCAATAAGTACTGTGATCATTCTGTTTGACGTCGAATATGCAACTAAAAACCGTAATATCACAGTGCCTACTAGCAAACTCAGTCGTTACCGTTGTCGTAGTCAGATTGATTTTTGACGCTCTCGCCTTCCAGCAATTCACCATTCCAGATCAGGTTGCTGCGCATTCGAAGATCCACATTCATCTTTGCAAAATAGATAGACTCCAGAGACTGAGACAGTATTACCTATAATAAGAACA